CTTAGGTTCTCAGTATGGTATCATGGGCTAGTGAACTGATTAATATGAACTTATGAGTGTTAACGTGATGAGTCTATGTGTAGGAAACATGTTTATGGACATTATACGGATTAAATGCATATGTTATTGCATTTCATTTCATTTTGGGCATTCTCATGATATTTCCTTATTATTATTATATTGCCTCACTAAGTCGATGACTTAGCGTGTGAGTGTTTCACACGTAGGATCTGAGAAAGTAGACGAGACAGGTTAAGCAGCTGGGCAACACTACTCCTGCAACTATCAGATCAAAGGCAACTTAATCAGTAGGTCCTTTTGTTATGTAAATAAATGTTGGCATGTAATTAAAGGGTCGAGTTGTGTATGCTCTGAGTATTTTGATAAACTTGTATTAACATATGTATATTATTATATTTTAATAATATAAGTTCAAATGTTTTATCGGTTTTTTAAAGAGTATTGTTTTGTTTAGTCAATGTGACATCCTGGACTTGTATCCAGGTCGGGTATGGGTTGATGGTGTTACATAAATCTTCAAGAAAACTGTTATAACCAAATCCAAAATAGAATAAGCATTTGTAGCTCTAGACGAGTCTAGAGAATAAGATGAATGACTTTAGAATTTCTTGGAGGATATTCTTGAATGATCAAAGTTTGTGCCCACAATATTCATATATTGGTAGAGAACAAAACTTTATGTATAATGGTAAGTTGTGATATATACATCATTAACACAATACCATTAGACAACTGACCTCAAATAGAGTTATCACTGTTGACTTTGTAGGATTAAAGGGTAACATCGTAGATTCACTGACCGAAGGGTTAATATTGAGATCAAGTTAAGAAAACATTGAAAGGAATGAGACTAAAACCCATGAAATGAAAGGCTTTATGTGAAGGAAAACCCTACCTTATTTACTGGCGATCCCAAGATCTAGGTTCAAAGGAATAACTTAATTGTGTAAACCGTGTGCAATCACTGTGGGGGTTTCTTATCCCAAGTTCATTATTATGATATAAACATTGATTAAATTGGTATAGGTTAAGAAAAGCTTTTAATGACCATTGTGTGCTTTGATGAGTCGAGCAACATAAGTCACCTATGTGAGAGTGAAATGAGGCCGCTTCAAGGAGACTATTTGGCATAGTTCTTTCAAACTCTTGCAGAACCAAGCGATGTCCATGGCTTTAAAGACACACATGAGAACTAAAATTCTTATCATAGGGTAATTGTGTAAAGTATATCGTCGTTTACACAAATGGAAGAAAAATTCAAGGACATCACGTCTACTGGTCATATAATAAATTAAATATGCTATCACAAGGAAAGGTTCAAAGGAGGACACCTACCTATCATGTGCATTTATCGTTGTAGAGTCTATCACCACATCGAGTCAAAATAGTTTTGATAAAATGATCAATTTCATTCATATGGGGATTGTTGAAAAAAGTTCGATAATTTTGGAGCTTTGAATGAGAAATTGATCCAAATGTTGTTGATGAAAATGTGGAACTAATTGTTGGTTCGTAAATGTTCAGACGTGCATGATGTGGGTAACGTTAATGTCCGAACCGGTCAGGTCTTTTGTGGGCTTACGGATATTTTAACCCAAAGGTGAAATAATTTTTCCTCAAATAGAGCATATCTTTTCAAAATTTGTTTTGGATTAAAAAGATAAATATTTAAAAGTTCCTTTAATCAAAACAGTAAATTTGGAAATTGATTGATTCTCACTAATGCTTCATTAGGTCAAAAATTTTCAATTGTTCATAATGTGAACTATCTATAAATATCGTGTTAACCTACTAGGTTAAAAACAATTAAAAAACAACTTAATAACCAATTCAAATGAATTCTTTTCTCTAGTTTTTGGAGATAGGCGAAGACAATGAATAGTTCATGATCTCGGTAGTTGTGCTACTGTGCGCTGATCATCTCGTTGTTGTATCCTGAGAGACAGGCTACCAAAGATCTTAAGCACCAAGGAGTGGCCGAAAATTTGTTTTAAGGAAACTGCGTAATTGCATGCATCAACTTATTTCTATTTGTAACAACCCGATTTTCAAAATAATATTTAATTGAAATTGGAGGTAAATTGTGAAAATGGGTGAAATTAAGTGACTAAAGTATAATTTATGAAAACTTGTATGCCATTTTCAAAGTAAAGGAAATTCAGGGACCAAGCCCTGAATTTCCCCTAAAAGTGTCGGCAAGTTTGTTATAACTAACGTGTTTTCTGATTTCAATCAGAAAACACAAAAGCTTTTCTTCAATTTTCTTCCTCTCACACCTCCATTTTCAAGTCTGATCCAAACGCCGTCCGAATTCCGATCGTTGTTTTGAAACCACCGTTGTGTTCATCATCGAGCGAGGAACAAACCCTTCAAATTAATTGAAGCGAAACGCGGCCAAACGTCGGGAATTTCCAATCAAAGTAGCGACGGTTTTGTTAGCTCTATCGCCGAAGAAATCTTAAATTCACCGCTGATCGTTGCTCCGTTCACGACACCTCCAGGACCATCGTGTTCCTTGTGCCGTTCCGAGTTCACCGGTGTCAACCTTGTCCGCCGTAGACGGTGGCGCGTGAGGAGGTGGTGCAGTCAAAGATTCGGCCGATTTGAAATCGAGCTCTCCGCCGTTCAAAAATTTGAACCGATCGTTGTAAGTATCTTGAAATCGCTCAAAATAATTTTTAAAAATTTTTCTGGGATTTTTAGGGCCCCGGAGGACGCCTCACGCGCCACACGCGCCGCCGCAGGGCGAGTGGCTGCTGAAAACCGGTTTAACCGGTTTGACCGGTTTCAACCGGTTCGAACCGGTTTGACCGGTCTGAACCGGTTTGACCGGTCTGAACCGGTTTGACCGGTCTGATCCGACCCGACCGTTGACCCGACCCGACCGTTGACTGTTGACCGTTGACCGTTGACTTTCTTTGACCAAAACTTAGAATGGCTTTGACCGAGCATTAAACGACCGTTAATCTTTTCCGAGTATACCTATCCTGATAGTTTTCGACGTGCCGAATCCGTTTCCGTGGTCCGTTTTGTCAAATTCGAATCCAAAGGTCTCCAAATCTACGGTCAAAGTGGTTGACTTTGACTTTGACCAAGAATTTGAATTTTCGAAAAGTCATACTTTATGTTTTTCGACGCCCTGATTCCGATTCCGCAATCCGTTTGGCCAAATTCAGACTCAAAATACCTCAAATTGATAGTTAAACTCGAAAAATACGTATATACTTAAGAAGTTTAGCTTTGAACAATTAAATAGGATTTGAGACTGATAAATATTATTGTTTGAAGGTACAAGAGACTCTCCGGATCGTTTGACAGCTCGACCCAGCTCTTCTAGATCAGTTAAACCACGTGTGCCAGTATTCACCCGTTCGAAAACTGTAGCAGAGCGTGGTGAAACCAGCAATCAGTAGATTTGTTATTTGAATCTATTGTCGAGGTGTGTTCCCTAATTATTATTGAACTGTTTTATTGGTTTTAATATGTGGTACACCGAATTCATTGGTTATTGTTTTATGGATGCACCAATTTAATGTGACAATTTATGGAATATGGCTGCTATCAAATTTTTGTTTTGAAATGGTATATGATTACCATGTTTTTGGATTTATGGAATTTATGTCACGGTGCAATTGAATTTTGGAATTGAATTACGATGGAATAGCTCTGATCAAGCTAACTGGGCCTAATGTGACTCTTGAGGGCCCCAAGATGTTTCATTAGGTCGGCTTTCCTTTGCTGTGTGCTTAGGGTAAGCTATATGGACTTATTGACTTGGGCTTAAGGATACAAGCTTCAGAGCCTATCCTTAAGTCGGCTTTCTTTTTGCTATGTGCATAAAATAAGCTATATGGAAAATAATTTTGGGAACTACTGATGGTGTACCAGAAAAGGGTTTAAACTATGATTTTCAAAAAGTTAAACTCTTTTACGAATTTGTGAGATTACTGGACTATGATTTGTACCTATTGTGATTTTATGGAAATGTTGGGACACACTGAGCCTAGCTCACCTTTTGAAAATGTTTCCCCCTTTCAGATACTGTTGGTTAGATACCTTGGTTCGAGCACTTGGAGGATCAACATATCTCTTGAAGTAAATCAGATTGTAATGTTCTTATCTGGCAAGTTGATTTTATTTTGGTGACATGGACCTTATTTTAAAATATCGGATTTTATAATGATAACTCTTTTGCTAATACTGCTCGGTTTATTGTGATTTTGAATTTGAAGACATGTTTTAAATTAAATTATTATTTATTTGTACTATATTTAAGAGTTGGATTTTGATAGTATAATTTGTTTATAATTTCATGTTATTTATAATGTGATTTTATATTGATGGAATAACGGTTGCGAAAAATGTCTTTAATAATCATAATGTGATCCACTAGACTTAGTCGAAACGCATAGGCCGGGTCTAGGGGTTATACTATTCATATATTTATGTTTTTCTATTCAGATTATTTAATCGAATATTTTCCATGTTATTAATTGTGTTTATTTTATTCTTGATTCATGTACACGAATTTTACGACGAGGTCATGTCGAGAAATAAAATGTCGTTTGCCGCAACTTGTATGAATCGCTGAGAAAACAAATTGTGGATCTATAAAATATTTGATTTTTTTTATTTTTGTCTCAAATGGTTATACCTCTAACAACAAATTCATTTCAAAATTTAATCCAAAGCTATTGTCTCTCACGAAGAAAACATATCTCATAAACCATGTTTTTTTTCTTCTTTTGATTGATGTGTTCCCTACTCGTCCGCATATCCAAAGCTATTGTCATGTTTATTGTTTATACACATGTCTTTTAGTGCATGCAGATTTGGTTGGTGGAAACTATTTTATTTGGATTAACCCTAGTTGATTTTTTCCAAAGGTGTGAAAACAAGAAAATTAATTGTTGGACACTTGGGCTAACCCATAAGGCTCCTTTAGCACTATAAAAAGGGCACTCCTGATTGCACCATGCAAAGCAAAGAGCTCCACAATGTCTACTACATACTTGCTGGTTTTACTACTTGGAGTGGTGGCTCTCACCACTCCTTCTTTTGGTACCTACGAATCACCCAACTATGGCAAATCACCTCCAACTTATCAACATAAGCCCCCTGTCTATGAACCACCAAAGAAAGAGAAACCAGAGCCTAAGCCGCCTGTCTATGAACCTCCAAAGAAAGAGAAGCCTGAACCCAAACCACCGGTCTATGAACCACCAAAGAAAGAGAAACCTGAGCCTAAACCACCGGTCTATGAGCCCCCAAAGAAGGAGAAACCCGAGCATAAGCCACCGGTTTATGAACCACCAAAGAAGGAGAAACCCGAGCATAAGCCACTAGTCTATGAACCACCAAAGAAGGAGAAACCCGAGCCTAAGCCCCCAGTTTATGAACCACCAAAGAAAGAGAAACCTAAGCCTAAGCCCCCGGTCTATGAACCACCAAAGAAAGAGAAACCTGAACCCAAACCACCAGTCTATGAACATCCAAAGAAGCCACCAGTCTATGAACATCCAAAGAAGCCACCAGTACACGAGACTCCAAAGAAGCCACCGGTGTATGAACCACCTTACGGTCACTATCCAGGACACCCTCCATTGGGGAAGCCTTGATTTAATGGTCCCATCAGCTGGCAGCTATTATGGCTATTTAGATAGATTAGTAACCACAATAAAGAGTTGCTACTATGTTTCCTCGTTATTCATGTAGTCATGTTTTCTTCCATGTCATGTCAGCGTGATTGCTGATGGATGTACTTGATGGATTTCCTATACTGTTTCTTCTTGTTTTCCAATAAGAGTGTTTTTAACACATGATGATAGCACAACAATACAACAATACTCAAATTTGGAATAAGAAAGAACAACTCGCTAATACTTACTTTAGTCAAACACATCGGCGATTTCAGAAAAAAATTTATAGGTTAGGTCAATATAAACATAATAAAATTTTATCTAAAAAAATAATATATATTTTGATAACCTATTATTAAAAAAAATAACAATGATGTTAGTATGACATTTTTTAATTGTTTTTCAATCATGACATGGCATTATCTTATGATGATACATCAACATCTTTTTAAAGACGAGAGACCAAAGTGTCGAAACGATCCTTAAGCTTTTTGGGCTATGGCGGGGAGCGATCCAACTTAATTTTAGGAAATATTGGGTTTTAAAATAAATGCATAAATAAATAAATTTGGAGTCGCCATTGACCTTTGGATTAGGTAGGTCGAATACCCAAAAATATCTTTTAAAATAATTTTAAGAAAAATAGTCTTAAAAGATAAAAAGTGATATGCGTTTAATTAGAAATTTATTTTGAAAAGGGTTCGGGAGTCGGTTACGCGTGGGGAATGATGAACACTCCCACAACGCCCAAAATCGGTACCTAAGCGATTATACGTCATCTAAATGCTGAAATTTACAAATTTGATTATACATTTAAATTATGATCCTAAAAAAAGGTTTTGAAAAGGGCATTATTTCATACGGACAATCCTTAAAAACACGCTCCTTGTTAGTTAAGGCATGTTTTTATGGATTCTCCATTCAAAAGATCATTACCATATTTTCGTCAAATTATATATTTAATATATAACAAAAAATTAAATAAAATGAAATAAAGAAAACAGTTGAGTATATAAAAAAAGGGGTTATTTTGCATGGGTGATTATTGAAAACACATTCTTTGTTAGTCAAGCACGTTTACATAAACTTCCCATACAAGATAATATTCACTTAATTTTTCTAGTGAGAATACACGTATTTAATATACAAAAATCATTTGAATGTAAAAAATGTATTACTCTATACGAACAATTCTAAAAAGCACACTCCTTGTCAGTTAAGACACGTTTCCATAAATTCCTCATATAAAATAATACTACTTTAGTAAATGGAAGCAAACTATACGAAAACATATATACATATATATATAATAATATAAACTATATTATATACATGTTGATATATATGATGTCAATATATTAGAGATAAACCCAAGGAGGATTTAAAAAGAACAACACAAACACATCAAGCTCGAATGCAAATAAAAGAAGGTTAAACAACTATGTAAATGGATGATCGAAGTAAAAAGATGATAACTTTAAAGGTTAAACTATAAAACCAGCAAGGACTAGGGAAATCATTGTAAATATCATACAAACTAAGCACTGAAATCGTAATAAAACCATCGTCAACGTTCATGACTAAAATGGAAATTATTAAAATTTGAGGATTGAGTCAAGCATTCGGCTAGGGCTGTAAACGAGCCGAGTAAAACTCAAGTATTGCTGAGCTCGACTCGAACTCAAAAAGTTTAAAATTAGGCTCGACTCGAAAACCAGCGAGCTAAAAATTATCAAGCTCGGCTCGAACTCAAAATATAATATTGAAACTCGACTCGAACTCGAAAAGGCTCAGAAGCTCGAACTCAAACTCGAATTTGAACCTACAAAAATCTTATATTACATTTAAAAATATATTTTTAAAAATTTATAATTATCAATAATGTATTTTTAATATATTTTTAATAATGTAATTTTTAAAAAAAATCTAAAATTATAATATAATATTTTTTTCGAGTAGCTCGTTTTAGCTCGTTAAGAATTCGAGTCGTTTGAGCTCGAGTCGAGTTCATTCGATTCAAGTGTTGATCGAGCTTTGACTGAGTCGATCTCGAGTAGCTCGCGATATGTCTCGTCTTATTTACAACCCTACATTCGGCCAAAGCATATATAAATGTGGACAATGACTGAAACAAAAACATAATGAAACTTAAAACGCAAATTAAAATAAATGAAAATTCATTTCAGTGACCAAAATGTAAAGTTACAGGACTCTAGGGCTACAACGTGACGGATTGAAATTATGGGGGATCTCACGTGATTTATCCCTGCCCATAAAATCGCGTCCCCCACAGCTAAAACGACGCCGTTTCTAATTGGGTATATATACCCAAGCCCAAAACCAAAAATGATTAAACAAACTCATTTTAACAAAACCCTTTCTCTTTATAAAGAGAGAAATCTCTTTTCTATCTGCCTTCTCTCCTCTCCAATCCTTGTCGGAGGAGGCCGAAAGCCTCCGGCCACCGCTCACAGGAGCACTCCTTCGCCACGGCGGTCGGAGATCTATAAAACCCACTCAAAATGACGCTTGACCTTCCCTAAACCCAAAAACAAACACCACTCCACCTAGAAATACCCCTATCATCCTAGATCTAAAAGAAACGAATGGATTACCTTAATTTTTGACGGCCCCTCCTTTCTCCGGTGGTTAGAAGTTCAGCTTCGGGTGGTAAGTCTCTCTCCCTTCTCTTTTTGTTTTCTTTTTTGTTCTTCTCCCCCCCCCAAAGTCCCATCTCTCTCTCCTTTTTTGCTCGTCTGATTGTTGATGGTTGTTTTCCCTTTGGTTCGGTTTTGGCTCCATTATATATTAAAAACCCCCTTTTTCTTTCATATTTAGTGTTGCATGCTTCTGGTAAGGGTTTGACCCTTTGTTCTTTTTTGTTGTTTTGCTATTTTCGTGCTAGGGGTTCTGACCAATGATGGTAGTTCAGCGGGGATAATGCCCTATCCCAAACGGAGGTGACGTGGGTTAAATAGGAGGTAAAAAAATCACCCCGATGCCTTTTGTCTTCTTCCGGTGACCAGTGTAAAATCTGGCGGCGGTGACAAGTCTCGGGAACCGGTGAGTCACGGACGAGCATCTTGGTCGGGTGCGTGTAGGGATGATCGACGTGTGGAGGTGGCAGGCTTGGCGTGTGGTGGCAGATGGGTTTAGGTCAAATCCCTAATATTAGGTTAATCCAGACCGTTAGATCAAATATGATCCAACGGCTGAGATGCAGCTGCTGTGTATCCAAAATGGTGAAAACCCTAGCCCTCTCCTGAACCAGACCTAGATTCGGCTCCCTGTTTTGGGCCCCGGACAAAATGGACATCTACACAAAGCATAACCAAAATGTAATATTTGTGTGATTTAAAATAAATAATAATTGAGTGACTAAAATAAAAACTAAAATAATTGAGTGAATTAATAAGTAATTTACCCTTTTTGGGCATAAGGGGCAATGTCCTAAGTAGGCCTAGGCCTAGATACGTCCTAGTCAAACAAAAATCGCATTCGAAACATCCTCATTGTACACAACTCTCAATCTCCAAAATATGACTATTCATCATCTTCTTAAGCCCGTCTATAAATTTTACAATAAGGGATAAACTATCATATATCACTACAATTCCATTTATCCCATAAATCATTTTAAAGGAAATAAACTAAAATTGTAATATTTCAGGGAGAAATATATAATTTTACCATTATAAACGGGAGTTCACCTCTCAAGATTACGTTCAAACTTCAAACCACAAGATTAGCAATATGATGTGAAAGTTTGCATAAATTATAAAATATAAAGGGATTAAAACCTGAATTCATCATTTTCCACCCTGCAAACACAAGTTTCTTTAGTGGATGAAGACGAGCCCCATGCAAAGGGTGTTTAGTGGACAATATTTCTAAGACTTTTCTCCCAAACAAATCTGTTGAATTTTTGTTAAGAAATTTTCGACTCATTTAAAAGAAGTTCTGTAAAATTATTGTCTATGTTATTATTTTTCTAAAAAAAATCTAAATTTAGTAATATTTATTTATAAAAACTTATTTGAATTCAAAATATTAAAAAAAATAAAATTACAATGTACCAAGCAGTCCTAGTGATTAAATGAATGATTATTATTCTTAGAGGTTCCGAGTTTGAGTATCTGTCATTATAGCGTATTTAATCGTTCATTATCAGATGGTTGAGAGATTTTAGAACATATATTACTACTTATAATCATCCTAAACTAGTAAAAATCAAAATAATTTTTTTATAGCTAGAATCATTCCTTAAATCATTATTTATGATATAATCATGTTATATTATATGATTATTAAAATTTTATATATATTAATAATGCATAATTATACAAATTTCCACGTCATTAAATATGCTATATATTTATATATCGTATCAAATCATATTTATGTTGTGTCGGAAAATTTCAATTCCCATATTGACTATGAAATCGTGTTTACCTAACTATCGGCACCTAGTCCATGCAAGGTTCTCGACGTCCCCACCATCCTGTTCGCGAATATGCTTGAAAAATTCCATCTCAGTAAATAACTGGAGGTTTAACTTGACAAACAAGATTGATGTCAATGTGACACTACTACTGTCAAATCTTTGAAATAATTTGTCTTTTACTTTTACCGTCTTGTTTTGTTCTGTTCTCGTGTTCGAAAGTGTTGTCGAAAACGGGGTAAAGAAAACGAAAGAACACGAGAATTTTACGAGGTTCGGCAATGTGCTTACGTCCTCGGTGCCTAGGCGGCGCTAGAATTTTATTCAATGATGTTTTAGGTCTAGGTTACATCTCTATTTATAATAGAAAACCCTGGTACATAATTACAAAATCAACTCTGTACCGTACCGCGGGGGGCTACGCCCCCGCACCCTCAACCCACATAATTTGTAACCCCACAACAAGACTTTCTTTGTAAGGACAGTTGATGTTCGCTTCGCTCACTCCGCTCCATCTCCTGTCCTCTTTACTGGTATATTTATGAGCCATACCTAACAAATCTCCACCTTGGCGAATATCCTGCCCCTTGGAAACTTCAATGTGGGTTGGGTTACCTTGCTTCTTTAACAACTCGAAACATTCAACAAGTCCAAGCAATGCTTGAACTTGTATGTCGTAACTGGCTTGGTGAACATATCAGCGGCATTCTCATCAGTATG